CTGTGGAGCTCGCGGATTACACTCCTGCTTCCAAACATCTGTTTCCAAAAACATCATTCCAGAAATTTAACGAGTGAAATTTTAACTCACAGCTGGATATGCTCTGGTTTCCTGTACGACAGCATCAATAATAACACATAATGACTTACTGAACACATAAGTCTGACCCTGCTTTACATATACCATCTCCCTGAATTTAATTATGTAGCCCAGCTTTAACACCCTAAATTTGGTTTTGCGACCTTGATCAAGTTGCCTGCTTTTCTATATCTCGGCTCCTTACCTGTGAAATGGGGATAAAGTAGTGTTAACCTCATAAAGTTACCGTACAAATTAAGTAATGCATCTACAGTGTTTAGCACAATACAGTGCTCACAGTACATACTCAATAAATATTAGCTGTTATATAATAACCACTTTTCAGATGTAGAAACCAAGGTCCAACATTTTAAGATACTTGCCCAAGATTACACAGTGAGTGGTGGTAAATATTCAAATCTCCTTGGGTTTGATTCTGGGACTCACACTTTTCCCACCAATAAAAGGACAACCAACACCATTTTCTTGCCTTTAAATTATTTTACAAAATCAAATGAAATAAAGTCCATTTAAAATAGTTAAAGTATTGCTTTTATATGTAAGCAAAAAAAAAAAAAAGTTGTCTTTTATCAAATGCTTCTGGCAAATTATTTCATGTATGTTCAAACACTAATGTAGTTGTTCTATCTTTATCAGAGCCACAAAGCAAGTTGGTTAACAGAACTGACACTCACTAGAGGTCCTGACTCGGTCACATAGGCACTCTGAATATTCTATTTATCCATGAACAATTAGCATTAATGTTAATCTGAATTAAACGAATTTCATTTCTATATAACTCAATATCAGATAAAAATCAATATATCTCTTTAAGAAAAAAAAAAGACCATGCCACTCTAGGTTTAAAAAAAATTTTCCCCCAAATACCAGTCAAGGGAAGCAGTGGGAGTGGAGAAGAAATCTGTAACTGGTTGTGATAAACCGCCACTCAAGTTTTTAGAGACAAAAGAGAATAATCTGACTAAAATTCTTAAATGATGCACTAAAACAGACTAAATTTTCAATTTGAATTTTAAAAATTCAAATAAAACTTATCTCCTATTTAGAAAAAATAAAGTTGCAGACTCAGGAACAAGGAAAGAAATCTAAAATATTCCAGTTTAATATTTAATTCTAGAAATTCAAAAAAGTGAAATATATTCTTGGATATTTATAAATAACGACTTACAACCCACAGAACTGAATAAATTGTGGTCCCTTCTGGCAAGACAATGATTTACATTAATATAATATTTAAAATAGTTTTAGAGTGTGAAAAAAATTGAAGTTTTAAAAGGAATTGCAAGAAGTAGAAATGTTCACTATTTTAAAAACTCACTTTTATATTCTCTATAGCTAATAAATGAGTCAAGGTTTAAATATTATGAAGTACTTACATTGTTATTGAGGATAACA